CAGGACTGATTCACAACATAAAACTGCATTTGTTATTATTAGACTTACAGGGTCTTATTATTGCTTTATGATAGTTAATAAGCATAGAAAATCAAGAGGAAATCCTTTTTGTCTTTGGATTTAAGAAAAAAAATATACAGTACATTTAAATATAAACGCTTGCTAGTCCATGCACATCTTCATATCTTTGAGCACGATATGTTTGAGAAAGCTCAACAAGCTTACTGCATTTAACATACAGCAACAGCCCGCTGTGAAGTACTACCATAGCATAGCAGGTCCACTGTCACAGATCCAAAACGTTTAAAACACAGAGGTAAAAGGCTGATCGCTGCACTGCCATAGCAGCATGCTATGAAGAAACTCATGTGCACAGTATGTTTAGACTTGAACTTCAAGTACTCACAGCGTACACAAAGGTAACACGCAGTACACATAAAACACAGCTTCTTCCTAAAAAAAACAAATAAATCACAGGGTAATTATTAGGATTGAAAAACAGGCCGCCTGGACTTATTTTGTAACTTTAGATGTAAAATTAAAAAAAAAAAAATTCTCATCTTTCAGGAATCATTTGAATTTTCTATATCCCAATTTTCTGTATCCCAACATGACTCAGGAATTGCGGTAATGTGAAGTGCTGTCTGTGTTCAGACCAAATATCCCAGTGAAATCCGTCTTCTCGTCTTTCTGGCACAGTCTGAATTTTGTCTCTAGCACAAATGGTTACATGGTTACAGTCATTTAAAGAACACTTGTAAAATGGGCTGGCAGGCTAATGGTTCAGACTGATTTTTCTTTTTGTTGTTGTTTTTACCTGCAGGGCAGCCTGCAAATAAAAACAGGATGTGCTGATAAAGCGGATCGTTTGGATCCTGTGGGTTATGGAGTTAGCACCTCAGTGGATTGGGATCTTGGGTGTTTGTAGGCTTGGTTCTTGAGTGGAGTGTTTAGTGGAGTGCATAGTCCTGCTCTGAGAATGTAGAGTCCTGTGTTATCAACTTCACCTGTCTGTGGTTTTAATGTTCTGGCAGCTCGGTGATTTATGCTGAGGTAACACGTGGCCAGTTAGATGCAACACTAGAAAACAGTTTGAATCAGAGCCCAGTTCGTGCCTGTGAAACCAGAATGGTACGTTTTTAAACATCTGCACCGCGTTACATTGAACACAGGTCCAGAGTGTGATTTGATGTTCAAATATTCAGTCATGAGGTCAGTGAGGCTGTGAGATTGTCCAGCATGCGACAGCGTGAATGCAGTAAATGAGGTAATCCGTGCATTTTTGTGATGTCAAGTCTGGATCCTTCTGGTGCGTCTTACTTGTTGTCTCTCGACGAGGTAATGTACCTGAGAATGGCGTTTGGAACGTCCATCGTCTCGTCCTTCACCAGGACGATGTCAAAAGAGTTGACGTAAGACTCCTTCCTCTCCTCCACCTGAAACACCAAACAGACAAGTGAGCTTTTAAAACTGATCCGTGTCAAAGTAACAAATCCCAGGACAGCACTACACCGGTCTGACCTGGTCGTTGAGGAAGCCAACGGTGAGGACGTTCTGGGGCTCAGAGACCCCGTCGGCCATGGTCAGATCTCCCAGTGAGTCTCCTAGCAGCAGCACGTTGGGTCGACCCTGCAGCTCTCTGAGGCCGGCTGCATGTGACAGAGCGCCTTCTCTCTTGTTAAAGGTGTGAATCAGTTGACCTTTAAAGGCTTGCAGCACCCCCTTAATAGCAAGAAATGCTGCGTTACAATAAGGTAAGCAAGCTATCACACATCTATTCAAAAGACCAATACAACAAAGATGCATGACAACAGTTACAGAGGAAGGCTGGGAAATTAATAACTTGACCAGCTAGATAGACGACCACCTTGCAAGTGTGAATTTGGACTTTTATAAAGGTATGAAATGTGCTAAAAATGCAAAACAAGAGAATTATTGTAAATTATTGTACAACTGTAGTTTGCTTAATTGCACAGCACTGGCTGGATCCAACTTCAGCAAGCATTTAGCAAAAGGCAGAGTGAAACTTGAACATGCTGGACACATACAGATAACCATTCATAAATTCATGCCTCCTCGTATTCAAAACTCCCTATGACCTAACATGAAACAACAGCACTCTGACAGAACATGCCAACTATAATAAATCAATACAATAAATAGATTTACTCCCCATTTCTGGACTAAATGTACTGACTACACGTAACAGTTGAGAAATGTGACACGTTTTTCAGTAAAAAGTAAGAAACACAGTAGAAAGGATCCTTTCTAAAAAGCTGTAACAGTTTCTTTCTTTGTAAGGAAAATTTGTACCAAAAAAACAAAACAAAAACTGACAATTCCTTTCAAAAAACTACGTGGCAGGTGGTTCAACTAACCAGGTGTGTATTGTCACACCTCTCAAACGTATCCAATTGCAAACTTACTTGCCAGTAATTCCTCGTGGGATGCTGGTTAGTCTAAACTGACTGGTTTGGCTAGAAGCTTAAAGCTTTTAAACCTGGCAAAATGATTATTTTTTTAAAGCTTGTGATCCAGGCTTTTACATCCATTGTACTGAACCAGTCAATCAAACTACGTGCAGTTCAAGGTGTTTCACAGACGACTGACAGACTGATGATGAGACTTTACAAGATGTGACAGAAGTCAGCTAATGTGCAAAAATAAGCAATTATAAGAGCATAGATTTAAGAAAATGTGAATAATAAATCTTATATTTCCTGCAAGCCTATTTATGCATGGTGATTAATGTTTATTAGAGAAGTTAAAAGGAAAACAATGTGCGTAAAAAGTTTTTGTTAAATATAAAGACAAGTTTGTTCTTCTCAGTTAGCCGCGAATCATGTTTTTGGTTTAAAAAAAAAACATGGACTTGTGCACTAATATGTATGTAATATATTAGTAATTATATGATGTAAAATTACAAATGTATACAGTCATGTCCATCACATGACATGTGTGTGAGGCTGAGTGTGGTTAAACTCACAGTGTGGTCAAAGTCCATGTAGTTGGAGATGATGTGGACATTTGGATGGAAGACGTGGTTCTGTCGAATCACCTCCTCCAAGACATCACCGACCCCGGCGGAGAGGATCAGCAGAGGGACCTGGTGCTCAGCCAGATGGTCGAAAAATACTTTGTACCCTTCCCTTAAGACAGAAACACACCAAACATGACTAAATTAGACCATGAAACATGAAGAAACACCACAGAGGTTCAACAGAAATGGTTCATATAATCTTTACAGTGTTAAACATTGCTTTTGAAAGTATCTGAAACCCAAACACAGCTGATGTTACTGGTTCCCACCTCATTTTTAATAAGTATTTTCGCCTCTAAATGAATGTTTTCATTGCAGAGCAGCTGTAATGTATTAGCTTTGTTGTGACAGTGTAATAAATTGATTTGTATAGACATCACCTGCCTCGAAGAATATTTTAAATGACAAAAAGCTTCATAACTGTAAACAGAGCTGTAACTGTAAACACATTCTTCTCTGTATAAATCAGCTCTGTGTAATTTGAGCTGTGCGTACCTGAGCATGGCGCTGGATTCCTTCACAGCCCGGGCCAGCGTGTCTTTTCTGATCTTCTGCTGAATCAGCAGCTCGTGGACTTTTGTCCACCTTTAGAGAGCAGATTAAATACAAGATATCAACCATTTAACAACATACATCAGTGTGTATATAAATTACAGTTCACTGTATATTATTCAGTATGCTCTGAAGAGGCACTGGAATCAAATGAGTTAATATCTGACACGTTTATTTCTTACCACTCAACCATGAGAGGAAGTTTCTCCTCAGCACTCCGGCTAGCATCGATCTCTATGGGATAATAAGTGTTTAACAGCTCCCTCATCTACAGCAGAACAACAACAGAACACTCATTAATATTATATCCTATCCACATGGCAACAAACACAGTTAAAGTTAACACATTAACCCATGTGTTTGTAAAGCTCTTACCTTTTTAGTGCAGTCTTCATTAATCAACAGCCGGTTATCCAAGATGTCTAAAAAGAAGACAAACAAAAACCACACAGGTAAAACTTGAATTATCCATCCAGTAATTGGTATATACATACTGGAATACATCATGGGAACACTTTCAGTGTCTTTGTGCTCACTGTGAGTGGTGGGAACTCTCTTGCTGTTGTGAGCGAATCTGGTCAGTGTCATGTCAAAGTCTGAGATTACCTGTGAAAACAGCAGACACATAAATGTACAGTTAGAGTAGCTCCATGTGCTTTTAGGGAATCACTGTAATTCTACCTCTGTACACCATCATACAGGATTTTAAAATCAAACAATTAAGATGTGATTGAAGTGCAGACCTTCAGCTTTTAGGTATTGCATTAAGTGTTTAGGATTTACAGCTTAGACAGAATTCCCCATTTTCAGAGGATCAGTAGTAATTGGACAATTGGCAGGTAAGCAGCTTCATGGCCAGGTGAGACCTGTTCCCTCATTATTAAAGGATCTCGAGTTGATTCCAAGTGTTGAACCAAAATCAACCTATGAGTGGGATCGCAAAAACTTTAGAAGTCTACAATCTGGTACCTTCACTTTTTAAGAAAAACTTCATAACATCTCACTAAGTCAAGAACACTTACGGCATCGTGCAAAAGTCTATGATTTTAGCAGTGAAGGCTTTTCGATCCTGTAAGACTCTTGTAGTGAGTTTGCAATCTTCACATAAGAAATCAAAACTCTTCAAATGAGCATTTACAAACGAGTGTTTGTGTGTATAACCTGCACTCAGCGCACTT